AGAGAACTGTCACTGAACTGCCGGGTGCCTGGCTCAGTGACTTGGCAAAGGCAGCTCTTACACCTACTCACTGTACTAGGAACCTAGAGAGACACTGGCATCCTGTAGACCAGTGGTTCTCAACCTTCCCAATGCCTCCTAATGCCACGATCCTTTAATACAGTTCCTCATGTTGTGGTGACCCCCAACCATGTAATTATTTTCATTGCTACTTCATAACTATAAATTTGCTACTGTTATGAATCGTAATATAAATATCTGATATGCAGGATGTATTTTTATTGTTACAAAGGGGTCACAACCTACAGGTTGAGAACCACTGCTGTAGACAGTGTGGTGGGTCATGTGCCATGTGCCTGTGTCAGTTCAAGTCATTTGAATCAATTCCACATGGAAAATCCTGAGACATTTCAGGTTTCAAAATGTTTTGTATGTCATTGCCATGAATTTGTTCAGTCACTATTTTTTTTTTCTTTTAGTGATGACTAAAGAAAATAATCTCCCATTGTAACATTGATTCGCAAACTTCAAGTCTTGGATCTTGGCTCAGATTTTTAGTAAAATCATCACTTTTATAATTTTTATCCAGTTCATAACATAAATGGCCTTTTTGGGTTTAACGTTGGTCTGATACTTAAAAGAAATCTATTTGCAGTTGTCAGAGCCTATTTAGTCCATGCTTCCGTTACCTAAATCCAGTTACACAAAAGCTCGGTTGGTGTGTCTGAATACTGGGGAATAGAAAAATCCACTGCATAAATACTATGTTAAGTATGTAAGTTTATAAATGTAAACATGGTGATGCACTTATTTGTACAAATAAATATCTATACCTATTCAAAAGTATGTTGTCTGTACATGTTCCTAAAAAGTATATTCCCTTTTATTTTGATAGTTTTATGACTAATAATGGCATTGAGATAATCATTTTACTGTGAGAGTAAATAATTTATATTTTTATTGATGATAAGATAATCAGGAATTTGAGTGACAGAATGGGTAACAATTTCATAACAAAATTTGTAGCAGTTTTTTGGTCATCATCATGAACAATTTGGCAAAGTTGTCCAGAAATGATATCATTACAGAAATGTAATGACATTTTCCAGAAAAATTACATGATGAAATATTACCAAGAGTGTGGTCAATGAGCACAGTGCAGGGTTATGAAACAGGTGTTATTGAGCAGAAATTACAGATCTTGCTATGTAACATGAGCTCACATGTTTTCTGAAATTCTGGGATCTCATATTTCATAAGCACTTAGCCTATGTTTAAGCTGAAATAAATGGGAAAACCCATCACCAGATTACTTATATTGTTAGAAATATGATTTCTGGGAAAAAATGCAAAAGACACTAAATAGTTTGCTGATTTTTTAACCCAAGAAACTGACCCTACTGTATGGCTCCTTGTTTCACATGATTTGTAGGGAAAACCCACGACCGTCATGTAAAAAATACTGCAATGTTTCTGAAGTATTACATCATTTCTAGTGACTTTTCTTCTCTGTAAAAATTTCTGGTAAAAGTTACTGATTACCATTACAGTCAGTTGCTATTTACTATTTGAACTGGCAGATAACAATCATCGGATATTTAATCACATCCCAAAGAAGGGGTGAGGCCCTGACTGCAGGGAGTTTTCTTTTGCATATCTTTGTGCAGGCCAACAGTCCCTGACTCCCAGTGGTGTGCAGTTTTAAATAGCATGTGAAGGCAGCGCCTGTGGCTCAGAGGAGTAGGGTGCCGGCCCCATATGCTGGAGGTGGCGGGTTCAAACCTAGGCCCAGCCAAAAAAAAAAAACTGCAAAAAAGACCAAAAAAAAAAAAAAAAGAATTTTAAATAGCATGTGAAGTATTTGTATGGTGTGTCACACACTTACATCACTGTATGAAATAGATCTTGTTTCCCTTACTGACAAACATTGATGTGTGAAAAAGGCACCTAATTTAAACAGACTACTGTACATTAAGGTTAAAGACAAGGCAAAGACTCCATGTGGCCCACAGAGTTCTCCATTTTTAACTGCCTCAAATTTCAAAGCTGTAATCAGGTTCCTTTGCTTTTATCCCCAATGCTGTCCTTCTACCTTGGCCACCAGGAATTTCCACCACTCATGACCTTCTGGCCTGGAGGAATGGAGTGCTGACTATTAAGTCTACTGAAAAGAAATAAAAACTTAACTGGGTCCAGATTCACCTCTGCTCTTATCCAGAGGGAACTTTGGTACCACCCGTTTCTGAGCCTTGGAGTGCTGCTCGGCACTTGTAGGCAGATGGCTGGTGCTTGGAGATGGGGGCCGCATGTTGGAGGTAGGAGCCTAAATGGGCAGAGTGGACTGGGCGCGGGCCAGGAGACAGTCAGTGTGGTGGGGATTCTGGAGAGCTCTCTAGCACCTGGCCCGTCTGGAGGAAGCTGCTCTAGTTGTCCATTACTGCAGCACAGGACAGGAGGCGAGTGTTGCTGCAACTTTTGGTTTTTAAGAGAAGCCTAGAGTTATTTTTTTTTTCAGTGAGAAATTTCCAGATTTTTTCCAGTATAGGCTTAATTTTTATTTCAGCTTTTAAAATTCCAGATATCATAAAAATAAGATAGTGTTTTAGTGAGCTCTAACCAGCCAACTTCTTACAACCCTGCCCTCCGTAACTTTGAAATAAGGTTCAGATATTGTATTATGCCCATATAAACTATATTACTGTCATCATATGTCCACCTAACACAAACAGGAAAGTAATAATTGCTTAATCTCTTCAAAATCCAGAGACTGTTCCCATTTCCCCAGGTGTCCTAAAAGTGTCAATTTTTGTTGTTTTAGTTAGTTACAATTGGAATTAAAACATGGTTTGGATATGTTATTTGGTTGTTAGATTTTAAATTTTCTTTAATCTGTAGGTTTTTCTTTAATCACCTTTTTCTCACTTGCAAGTTATTTGTTGAAATAATTGGGGGGGTCACAAGTGTGGATGTCACTCCTCACATCCCTGTTGTGTCACTCACTATGTTCTCCTGTCCCCTGTCTGTCCTGTAAAGTGCTGAAAGAGGCTTTGTGAGCTCCAGGATCAGCTTCTCTGGTGAGACAATTTCATGAGCGGTGTGGTCTTCTATCTGGGTCTCTCTTTTGCTGTGATCAGTGCCTATCCCCTTTTATTCCTAGGTGTCCTTTTATTTAAAACATCATCTCTGAGCACCTTCCCCACGCCCATGTATTTTGGGCCAGATATCACCCATGAGTCAACAGTTGGAGAATTCTGATTTATCAAAGTTCAGACTTGCGTCTTGCCCGTGTCTGGAACATTCTGTGATTCATTTAATATAACTTAACTCCCAAGGAGCCCATTCTGACACATAGAAATGATCTTGCCACATCTGCCATTCAGTTCTGTGTTATCATTCTTTCCTAGAAGTTGGGTGGGCACTGTCCCAGTCACACGCACCAGTTGTTTGAATCAGATGTCGTGGTGTCCTCCCATGAGGCAGATAGGTCAAGTGCACTTTAAACACGTGTTACCTTTTAGGAGGGAAAATAGACATTTCTGTTACACGTTTGACTTGTATGGTCTCTGTGATTTTTTTTTTTTTTAAGACAGTCTCACTTTTTCACCCTGGGTACAGTGCAATCATAGCTCACAGCAACCTCACACTCTTGGGCTCAAGAGATCCCCTCAGCCTCCTGAGTAGGTGGAACTACAGGTACCCACCAAAACACCTAGCTAGTTTTAGAGACAGGATCTCGCTCTTATTCATGGTGGTCTTAAACTCATGAGCTCAGGCAGTCCACCTGTCTCAGCCTCCCCAGGTGCTGGGATTACAGGCATGAGCCTGGCTTTCTGTGAACTTAATGAGCTGGACTTGGAGAGATGACTTTGTGGAGCACAAACTTACTCAGGACCTACCTTCCATAATGTTACCTTTAGCTGTTGTGTGTGTTTATGGGTAGAGTGAGGGAGGTGGTAAGCAGAGGCGGGGCAGGGCAGCGTAGCGCTCAGCCTTCAGGAGCTGAGTACAGTCGAGCCAGCTCTTTAGCTGTGTGGCTTTGGGACATTAACTTCATCTCTCAGAGTTTCCTTTCTTCTGTTTGAAAGGGGTAATAAGGTTTCCTCACCTCATAGAAAAGGTGGCTATAAGAATTAAAGGCTTGGTATATATTTATCAACTCTTTGGATCTTTTTTAGGCAGCAAAGCCTTCTTTGTTCTCTTTTTGAAAGAATATGTTTTCATTTTTTAGAAAGTAAACTCCTTATATAAAATAATGGAAATGTAGAAAGGAAGATGATAGAAAGTCAGCATAACTCTGATAGGAACATGGTGGGGGGTGTGTAATGTTAAATGCCTTTGCTTCGTGGCTTCTGGGGAGAAATCAGTCACATATGTTCAGTGTTGAGCCAAGGGTCACATACAAGACGAAAACCTGTAGTCTTGACACTGTGTACAAGAGTTAAATGTTCGCATAGATCTAACTGTACCTGAATAGCTGAATTAGAGAAAGATGAACTCGGCGGGAGCAAAGGGTTTCTAGATGTGAAATATCTGTATTTTAACTGAATAGTACCGGGTTATAAATCCAAGATGGTGTCTGTCCTGGCGTTTGAACTTCTGTGCTCTCTCTCCAGTCTGTGGACTCTGATCAGTGCTTCTTACTCCTTTTCACTCATCTCTTTTCCCTACTTTTGTCCCTTTTCCAAAGTCAACCACAGAGTAGCTTAATGGTTTTTAGAATGTGGATGTGAGATTAAGGCACATTTTCTTAGGCAGTACTGATCAGAAGAGAATGTTCTATCTTAAAACAAAGCTCGTGGCACACAGTGCAGCAAAGTTCCCATGGGAAGGCCTGTCACCTGTTAAGGAGGACTGCAGTAGGTCAGGGCAAGACCAGCAGATGGAAACAGGAGACCGGGTGAAATCCTGTTGTCTGCTGAAGGTCCTGGGCAAAGCAGAACAAAGAATCCTGGTCTCCTGTGAGGAGCCACTGTCACTGACCGTCGTCTGCTTGTTTTCAGGGTGTATGCCACGTACAATTCCGTAAAGGGGTCCTGCTCGGAGCCTGTGAGCTTCACCACTCAAAGCTGTGCGCCCGAGTGTCCTTTCCCTCCTAAGCTGGCCCACAGGAGCAAGAGCTCATTGACCTTGCAGTGGAAGGTGAGTACCTCAGAGTGCCGAGACCTCTCTCACAGCTGTGTCAGTCTGTAGCCATTTGAGGTCTTTATTTAGCACTATTCCAATTTTTTAATAGTGTTGGGTTTTCTGCATAGTACTATGTGAAACTAATTGTGATGTTAAAAGTTTTTGTCTCTATAAAAATTAGGCAAAGAAGTAGGAGTAAGGAACTGCAAAATACCACTTTAACTCAATTTGCTGGGGAATTTTATTATCTTTTAGGGCAGTGGTTCTCAACCTTCCTAATGCCTCCTAATGCTGTGACCCTTTAATACAGTTCCTCATGTTGTGACCTCCAACCATAAAATCATTTCATTGCTACATCATAACTATAATTTTGCTATTGTTATGAATCACAATGTAAATATCTGATATGCAGGTTGTATTTTCATTGTTACAAGGGGGTCACGACCCACAGGTTGAGAACTGCTGTTTTAGGGGCATAGACAAAAACTTTATAAATGAGATAAGTACTTAAAATACCTAAGTTTCTATCCCAGAATGCAGTCTTCTGATTTCAAGATTCTTCTTTTATAAGCACCAAAGGACTGCTGCACCCCTTTTAATAAAGGGATTTCTTCTATGAGGTTGGGATTCAGTTGAGAGGCTGCCCTGGAGGATCTAGTGGGCTACATGTAGCCTTGAGCCCACAGGTTCTCCACAGCTCAGTAAAAAGTTTTTATGGAAAAAATTTAGAGGCCGGGCATAGTGGCTCATGCCTGTGATCCTAGCACTCTGGGAGGCAGAGGTGGGTGTATTGATTGAGCCCAGGAATTAAAGACCAGCCTGAGCAAGAGTGAGACCCTGTCTCTACTAAAAATAGAAAAACTAACCAGATGTTATAGAGGACATCTATAGTCCCAGCTTCTTGGGAGGCTAAGGCAGGAAGATCACTTGAACCCAGGTGTTTGAGGTTGTTCTGAGCTATTACACCATAGCACTCTACCCAGGACGACAGAGTGAGACTATGTCTCTAAAAAGAAAAAAAAAAGTTAACTAAATGTCTATAAAAGACTGAAATATATAGTAGTTTTAATGAAATGTAATTTACTGGCTAAAAATAACTGTTACCAAAGAGAGAGGTCCTATTGCACCTTTCTTAAGGGGTATCATGAGCTTGTGAGTCACAGTTATGTGTTTACAAGAAAACAGTAAATTATCTTATCAATAACTGAGTAGCAGTTATTTTATATATCGATACTTTAAAGTATAATTTAAAATATAAAGTTTATTAGAGATAGAGATAAAGATTTATGGTTTGGGGGGCAAACTCTAATGTGTAGAAGAAATAAGATGGCCAGGGAATCCATTATTGGTGAAGAAATATTTTACCTTCTTCTATCTAGACCGAGTGTCAGTTTACCTAGGGAGTCAGTAAGCAATCGGGAGAAAGTGCGGGCTTCTCTAGATTCCTCGTGCAGCCGCTGCATTCTTAGCACCAATGGCAGCATTGACTGTGTTATTTGGACAAAGGCAAAGTTTAAACTGGCTTAGAATCTGAACTATTTTATTTTCCTTCCTGGCTTCCAGGGATAATCCAGGTCAGTGATTCCCTACCTTTTCAGAGTTTTAACACCCAACTAGTCATCATTGTTTAATTCCTTGGAGCATATACATCCATTTAAAAATCTGTTCTTTACTTACACATATATACATATATAAATATATCTTTTCTTAAGGAAAGAATTTAATCCATTTAGTTTGGAAAATAGTAATTAAAGAAATCTTTAGATTAGCAGAGGGATCTGGGTTCTTAGAAACCTAAAGTTGGGAATCACTGATACATCTTCCACTTAAAAACTGTGTGGACTTCAGGTCTCAGGAAGGCCAGCATCTCAAGCTGTAGTGGGACAACTGCCAAGGGACGTTCTTCTAGAGAAATCTATGAGCCGTCATAGACATAGTCTCATCTCAGCAATGGGTTCTTGCCTAGACTTTGATTTGCCAGGCTTTGGAACTTTAAATGTACCACTATCGTGTCCTCAAACTGGGCCCACAAAAGCCTGAAATTATAGTTCAGGATTTACAGTACTCATCTGAGATCTCAGTTCTGCCCAAAAGGCAGAAGGGGGAGAAGGAAGGAAAGGAGGGGGAGAATTTCTTTATTAATGTAACTAACAACGTTTACTGAGCCCAGGTGAGGTATTGTTATTAAAAATGGCAGAGCAGTAGCTAGGGTTTGCTGAGCACCCCTGTAAGACCCGGCCTTTTCTTGGTGACCCACACATTCTTCCCTGCACTTCCCACACCTGTCCATTCTTGAAACAGTGAGCACCAGGTGGTGGGGGACAGGGAAGCTGGCGTGCTGGGACTTTGTTGCCTCCTGTCCCCAGCACACTGAGCTGGTTGGGCTCTCCTCTTTCTCAGGGGAGAGTCAGGCCCAGGCATGTGTGAAGTGGGGGATATGATCTTATTCCACTTTTTGGCTGCCTCCCCCACCTTTAGTCCCCTTTCTCCAAATATGAATGCTCCAGGGACCCCTCGGTGGCACCCCTCTGGCTGGTCTAATCCTGCATCTACCCTTTTACCCAGAGTTCTCTGCTTCTCTCAGTGAAGCAGATCTCAGCAAGATTTTAAGAGAAAAGCAAATGATGAAACTTTTTTTTTTTTGTTAACATCCAATTGTTAATTTTCTCTTTTGTTTTAAAAGGGGAACCCAGAGGACACAGATGGCTTTCTAATCTTAAGTGCTTAAAAAAGAAAAAACAGGTTATAGGGGGGAAGGTATAAAAATAAAGACTTGACTGTGCCCCATCAGACGCCTCAGGGGTGTCTGTGCTTCTCTGCTGCCTTTCCCCTTCTGCTCTTGAGTTTAAAGTGTCTCTAAGAAGTTTTCTTCCCAGAGGAAGTAGGATACCATGAGGGCGTAAAGGTAGGAGGGTGGGTGACAGGCTTGGCTATTTGCCGAGTTTGATTATTAATAGTGGGGACTGTTTCCGCAGTTGTAGTAAAGTTGGTGTGTGATAAGTTGACCACGAAAATGCAGGGACTTCCAGAGCACAGGACTGATGTAGACATTATATTTGAATGAGTGGGTAGCACTTTAGTTTTCTCTGTGAACAACTTTATCTAATCTCATTTTATCATTTTTTTTAGGCACCAATTGACAATGGTTCAAAAATCACTAACTACCTTTTAGAATGGGATGAGGTAAGCTTATTTTCATATTCATTAATTTAAATACCATTTTGAGAACAAAATTTATAAACAGATATCATCTTAATCTTTCATAAGTTGTGCTAAATGCAGAAAGGGGGAATGTAGAGAAAAATGTAAGTCAGTCGTTACTGTTCATAGAAAACAAAGTTGGATTGAAACCGTGTGATGACTTTTATGCATCCCTATATTTTTACCTGTCTTATTTGCTAGCAACACTACTGACAGAAAAAACAGTCTTGATCTATTTGGAGTCTCTAGTGTCTGGCCAATCATTAATTTGTGTTAAAAATTGACTACTTTATCATCTTGAGTTGCGTGGATGGTTTTGATAAGGTGAAGCACAGCGTGGCTTAGGAGGCCTGAGTGGTTTTCTTTTTTGAATGCCACATGTGTTCTCCAGTGCTGCACTGTTGATAGTGGAGCATGGGCGGAGGTCTCCTTGTGCCCAGGTGTAGATGCCCTCTGGCTTGGATCACTCTGTAACTGGTGCCCTCTTTGCTCTTTCTGTCACCAGAGGCTTATGGTATCCAAGGTGGGGTCCCCATCCTCACAGACACTCTGTGGTGGCCTAGTGCGTTTCTGGCCCCGCTGATGCTGTACACAGAACCTTGGGCCAGAAGCCCAAGGCCAGAAGCCTTTCCTTTCTGTCAAAGCCACACTTTTTGTTCCTGTAGATCTCAGTTCTACTTACTCACTTGCCTTTGCTTTATTCCATCTTTCTGTAGTTGCAAAGACAGGCTTGAAATTATAAGATTAAGAAATGGGAAGTTGGGGAGAAATGCAAGTTATCTAGTCCCTGTGACTTCAGTTTGAAGGGACTGAAAGGTTCAGAACTTAGGCGTAGGCAGGAAGTCACTTGGCAAAGGCAGGAAGATAGTTTAACCAAAAGTAAAATGAAAACTGGTCTGACATTCTCATAATGAAATTTTGATGGGGAGAGGGAGTTCTCATCACTCTCGCCTGGCTTACATCTGAATAGCTTGAGTTCATGTTACCCAAGACAACCATCAATCATTCTTAGGTCCTTGTGTATTTGCAGATTGCTGAGACTTAGAATCTGTATAGCCTACAAACTAGGTACTTATTTTATTTTATAAGGTGGATGGATTGAAAAATGAAACCATCTGTACAACACAACCTTACAGATTTGTACGGGCAGTCAGAATGTTGGTGAGGAACCTGGCTGACCTGTGAGCACACAGTGGCATCTTCCTGTCTATTCTTCTCCCAGTAGGAGTCTGTTTTTATGTGTGGATTCGTTGCTCTGACCAGGTGTTTCTCACGTGTATTTGTGTATGTGTGGGTGCATGTCCTGGCCTTTTGCTGTTTCTCTGCCTAGAACCATAAGGAGGGCCAGACAAGTTGAGTACATCCTTGAATGAGAAGCCTCCAAGGGAAACTCAGATTCTGCAGGAAATGATAAAGGTGGCTCAGCTGCTGAAGGGTTTGGTCCCTTCCCTTACAATCTGAAATGAAAGGGACTTGGCATGATACTGAGAGGGAAGTTGTCACAGCGTCTGATGAGAGCGAGTGGCCCTGGCTGATGACTGTGTGTGCTCAGCACGGTCCGCTGTGGACCGTCTGATGAGAGCCAGTGGCCCTGGCTGATGACTGTGTGTGCTCAGCACGGTCCGCTGTGGACCGTCTGATGAGAGCCAGTGGCCCTGGCTGATGACTGTGCGTGCTCAGCACGGTCCGCTGTGGACCGTCTGATGAGAGCCAGTGGCCCTGGCTGATGACTGTGTGTGCTCAGCACGGTCCGCTGTGGACAAGCAGTCACAGATGTTAAAATGGTTGGGATCTGCCCTTCTCTTTTCCCCTTCTTGGCCTCCTTCCATCTTTTCCTTTCTCCCTTAATTCCTTGCCTCTTCTTCCTTTTTATTTTCTCTCACCTTGAAACTCCTGCTGGTGTCAGTCCTGTTGAGCTGGGGTAGGAGGGAGATCCCAGTTTAATTGACTCTTACCTCTGCCAGGCATCCTCTGACTTTCTGTGGCTTAATAGTCATTCTCTGTAAAAACTCCTGGACCCTAGACTCTGGCCTTCAGGTGTAGGTATCTCCCTGGCCACTGAGGGTAAATAAAAGACACCGGAACTGGGAGATCTGCTCCAGGACTGATACCAGGCAGCTGGACCATGGTGCTGCCCACAGTGCCTGTCTGCGAAAGGCAAGTACATCAGGCCATCGTTGGTGTGCACTGATGTTTACATTCTCTGAAAACTGACCATCTAGGGGCATCTCTTCTGATAAGAAAATATTTTGGAATCCTTTTTGCTGTTGTTTGGACTGTTTGTCTATTAATTATTTTAGCATTTATGGAGCCTACACTTCTGTGCCTTGACTTTGTATGCCATCCATTGAGGGCCACAGGGTATAGGAAAGATCATATGTCCTTGAGGTGATGGCGATGGCTGGAAAGCTGCCCTTACCTTGTCCTCTTGATGTGCTCTTAGATACATATAAAACAGGCTTAGCCCCATGCTTCTCTGACTTTTCTGTACAGTGGCTTCTTTGCTATATATTATACCTCTCTAATTTTTAGTCCCTATAGAGATGAAAAGTGGTACCACTGGTTTTCCTGGCAATGGGAAATCAAGCAATAGAAACCTGTTGGTCCTGCCCGCCCTCCTGCCCTCCCTTCCTCCTCCCACCCTATTCCCGCCTGCCCCCTAAAGCGAGGCTTCTTCTCTTCTCCTCTCTCCTCTCCAAGCATATCTGCCTCTGTTGTCCAGGGGCCTGCAGAAATAACTTATGTATGGAAAGATGGGGAAGCAAAACCCTGCCTGAGGGCGGGATGGGTGCCCAGTCAGAGCCCCACGTGATGCTGTATGGGTGCAGCACCCTGCCCGTCCCTGCTCTGGTGTCAGAGTCCTGACTGGTGAGTCTGCCTGCCCCATGTGGCACACATGGTTATGTGCGTGTCCCTGTGACCCTGTATCTTTATTATAGTGTAGCAGCACTGGGTAGAATGCCAGGATGTTTTATTCTTCTATTCAATTTGTAACCACCTTTCCAATAAAATGATTAGTGTAAAATTTGAAAGTGTTGGTAAAAGGAAAATGCAAGGTGTCAATCCCAGTTGTCAGCTCTCTGAGAAAAAGGCTGTCATGGAAGAAGAGCACAGCCTTTCCTGCCAGGATTCAGAGTGCTGTGCTGCATCAGTGTCTGTGGAAGGGTGCCTGAGCCAGCACCGGCGGTGTCCTGGTCCCAGAGCACAGGGCAAGTGTCCCCATGGGGAGCAGAAGACAGAGCCCTCATGGTGCAGGGCAGCCTGGCAGCCATGTCTCCTGATGTTGGCATTAACTTTATGTCCCTTTTATATAGAATTCACTTGGAGTAAATTGGCATCAGTATCATGCCAGGTCCATTTCATTTCAGATTGAAATTACTCACTAGTAGTTCAGTAAGAGGTTGGCTGCCTGTTTTCCATCCATTAATAAATAACTAGATAACCCATTAAGTTTTAAGTCAACGTGAAAGATACTGTGGAAAGTAACTAAAATGGAACGTGTGGCTGTCCAGCTGTGCCCATCAATTTCAATCTTCACTTGAACCAGATCAGTTTTTATTTCTTGGGAAGGTCCCACCTTGCTGGGACACAGGCGAGTTTTAGTGTGCAGAGCTGCGGGGTTTGAAGACAGACACTGCATTTCATAGCTCTCCCTCTAGCTGCTGTTGCCCTCCGTACAACACTGCTTGTTATGAGCAGAGAGGCAGAAGGTTGTTCTCAAGGCAGTTTCCACTTGATCACTGGATGAGACATCATCATGTTTTGATTTCCCAGCATTCCTGCCCCAAGTTTACCTTTTAGTCTATAGGGAATGGTCATTCTGAAGGCCACTGAAAGCAGGTCAGAAGCTCCTAATGGTTTTTCTCCTGCTGGATTTTTATATTACACCCAATGCTGACTAAAAAGAATAATCCTTTATGAATTACTTCGGTTTTGTTCAGAATTATGAATAGGAGAAAGCATCCTAACTTTTCCCCACAGGAGAACAGTCTCAGAAGCCAGGTTCCTCCAGGCAGAGGCTCTTCAGCATAGTCTCAGGCCATGCCTCTCCCTGCCGACCCTCCTGTGCTGACTGGCCCCATGTCACTGGTCTGCCTGGTGGGATAGTAGTGTCCAGTAAGGTGGAGTTTTTCCCTGGAGGAAGATATCAGGGAAAGATCAAAGTTCTTGAGGCTTCTAGGGTAGTGAGGAGCTGTTAGGAAGAAGAATTTAGGGTCTTTGGATTGAGTCACTCACAAATCCCTGCCCAGGCTGTTTTAGGTCTCCTCAGTAGACAGTGCTCTGGCCCCTTAGGTCTCCTCAGTAGACAGTGCTCTGGCCCCTTAGGTCTCCTCAGTAGACAGGAGCTGGCCCCTTAGGTCTCCTCAGTAGACAGGAGCTGGCCTCTTAGGTCTCCTCAGTAGACAGTGCTCTGGCCTCTTAGGTCTCCTCAGTAGACAGTGCTCTGGCC